ATCCATGATTATTCTTGTATAACTTATGTCTTATTCATATTGAATATATTGATTTTTCTTCAATCTAAATGTGTTCCTTAGAAACTTCAAACATCATATTGCTGATTGTTATGATATGGTAAGTCAGAATGGACAGTGATCTAAGTCCAATGTTAAAAATCTTATAGATTATGCTTTCACATCATGATAAATCAATAATTTTAAGATCAGATCTATTGTTATAATAGTATTAATACTAAATGTAACCATAATTACACAAAATTATCATTCCTTGTTTTGAAACATACACTAACATATTAGTTTATTACAATAATGATTTGATTAATAAATGATCTGGTAATTTCATTCTTGACTACCCAATATAATAAGAGAAAAGAAAGATGATAAGTCTAAGCATTCTAATAGTATTTTTTTTTGTGATACCTTTTCTTTCCCCAGTGATAAAGATCAAGTTAAAATTAATGAAATAGAAGGATAGTTGTATTTTGATGACAAATAACATGTGAAGTAAAAAGTTAGTATAGTATAGTATGTAAAACAAAGTGTAATGTAAGTAAATGGTTATGTGTTGGAGACGATAGATCCCCAAAAACTCATAGTTTGTAATTTTATCTTGTGGAGCTTGTATGCAGATGTATACGTGGGCATTTCTTACCACCCACGCATATAGTCGATTGATGAATTTATCGATTAAATGTTTAAATAATTCAATGGCAGTCAATTGACGAACTATCGATTAAATGTTTCAAAGCTCCATGACAATATCGATGTATATATAATTGTATATATAGGTTTTGAAATTGTCTTGTAAAAATTTCGCTGGTTTTCTGGTTGTTACAGAATATACTTTCATTCTAAGCTTGGTCTTCTCACTCTAGATAGCGAGGCTGGGACGCGTCAATAGTTAGCATACTGGACCTTGGTCACCGAATCCTCGATCTCGTTCTCAAACTACGTGAACCTCTCTCTCTCTCTCTTTTCAAACCCTAACATTACGGTTGAAACAAACAAACAAACAAACAAAATGAAACAAAAAAATGGTAATAATATCAAATCTATGCAAATACTATTGAATGTATAATCGATTATTATCATTAATAATCCTTTATCATTAATATATATTCACATCAAATGTTCATTTTTACAAAGAGAATGATTTCTCTTTATATTAATCATAAGACTTAATGTTGAGAATTTCATATTTTTGTAAATATTGATAAATCATAGATAAAATTGAATCAATATTATCATTGGAAGTTATCTAAAGTAGACCATCATTAAAAACATGAAAGTATTGGATGATCGTTTTGTTCTAGTATAGGACTTTTCAGCAGTTCCCATTCACGATTCTGTACATGAGACTTTTGGTTTTCAATAATGCTTTAGCTTAGATTGACTAATGAATTCAACAAATGAAATAATTACAATCTATACAAATCACCATTCCGATAATCATGATGTTGTCACTAGTGATTAGCTTGAAGATAGCTTTCCAGAAGTTCTAGTGGGAAACCAAGATCAGTGAATAAATAACAAGATCAGTGAAGTTCAATCCGTGTCGGGTGCGAGACAGTTATCTATCTTAGACAATCGATGAAGGGTTGTACAATATCATGGATCGATTGAAGTTTGAGATTAACACCGTTAAATGCTGACTCACTGGTCTACAGGTTGTGTTTATGAGAGTAATCGGAGGATTTAGATTTAAGTCTTTTTGGTACAAGATTAATGGATGTACACTTTTGAGTTGTCACATACTATGAACAAACGGTCTTTCAGTGCTTCCAACTTTTCAATATTAGTCTATCTTAGATCAACTCATGAATTTAACTATTAAAATATTCACTTAATCTAATTTACTTAACAGTTCGAAAATGGCACCCATACAGAGATTGTTGATGCGAAATATATATATATATATATATCACCTTTTTAGTTGCAAGAAAATGATATTCTTTCATGAATAACCGTAGCCATATCACAATACAGCATTTTTCTTTAGTTGCTAAGCTATTATTTTAAAAATGTACAGTTCAATATTTCGTGACCAAAAATATTATTTCTTAAAAGAGTAAAGCATATAAATACAGATTATTATATTTTATACCGAGATATCTATAGTCTAGACGTAAAGTATTCGTGCGTGAGACTGATAGGTCCTGATAGATAGTAACTCACTGAAGACAATGATGGATTAGTTGAAGTGCGAGATCGATATATTCTGGGTTCGAATCTCGCGGGGCGGGATCATGGATGCGCACTTCTGAAGAGTTCCATAATAAAACGAAACAACCGTCTAGTGCTTGTAGGTTTTCCATGGTGGTCTAATTTCATTTGACTCATGATCTTAATTATAAAACATTACTATAATATTCATAAAGCCCCTTCTGATATGTATAACTACTAATCTCTTTTAAAGTAATATGTTTGTGAAGAAAACCTACATAAACAATATAAACACAGAATGGAATATTTTATTGATAAACATCAGAAAAAGTTCAAGTTTCACATTCGATCACAATTATGAAATAAACGGACAAGGAATTATGGTTTATCTCTATGTTAACAACTTCATTAAAACAATAATAGTTATTTATACTCCATATATCCGTCTAATTTATAGGATAGTTATCAATCTCACAGTTACATCGATGAAACATAATTCAAATACAATATTCGATTGAGATCATGAATCGATTGATGTTAGACTACCATTGAAAACCTGGAAACACTGGACGGCGATTTCGTCCTATTGTGAGACTTCTTATCCATGCGATTCCTAGATCCCATTCACGGGATTCAAACCCACTCCACAAACGTTGAACCTACTGGACCACTGAGCCGACATCCATTGGTGATCTAACATCAATTAGTTCATGATCTCAATCACAAAAAAAAAACAAACTTACTCATCTCCACAACTCTTATATTGAAATAGAATATAGTCTACTGATTAACTTACTTAATTATAAGACAATTGAAAGTATTCATTTTATAGATTCTTACAAAGTATTTACCTGATATTATGATTGAGATCATTTATAATAATAATAATAATAATAATAATAATAATAATAATAAAGAAATCAATATTGTTGAATAAACGTTATCAGTTTATCTTCTATCAATAAATAAGTAATAACAATTATAATGAGAGTTCATATGAACGAACCTTTATCTTTTCTTAAACTAGATCATAGAATAATTTGACAATTATATTTAATATATGATCTATGATTATGTCTAATGATTAAAAGCTGATAATAGGTATTATATTAGTTTAGTATTATTATGATACTATTCATATATGGTATAGTATGATAGATTCATATTTATTTGAACAGATTGTGTTTATTACAGGGGGTTTTGTGAAGAATTGGTAATTTCAATAGTTGAAATCATGAGTCAATTGAAGCTAGACCACCATGGAAAACCTGGAAGCATTGCACGACCGTTTCAGTGGTCTAGTTAGTTAAGCGCCTAGTGCGAGACTGATAGGTCCTGGGTTCGAATCTCACGGAGGGCGGGGTCGTGGATACACACTACTGAGGAGTCCTATACTAGGACGAAACAGCCGTCCAGTACTTCCAGGTTTCCCATGGTGGTCTAGCTTCAAATGACTAATGATTTAAACTATTGAGATAGTGTTTATTCAAGATTATTAAAGATTACTTACTTAAGCCTGTTATCTCTCATGGAGGAATATAGGCCACTCACCAGCATTCTCCATATAACTCTGTCCAGTTATTTCTAGTTGTTATTCATTCTTTTCATATCTGATTCAAGTTCTTCCAATAATGTACTCTTTTTTATTTCTTTTTGTCTTTTCTATTCAGGATTTCAAGTTAGCGCTTGTCTCGTGATACAGTTTAGTGATTTCCTCAATGTGCGTACTATTCACCTTTTTCTAATTCCCTCTTTAGTTGGAAGTTGGTTTGTTCTCTCCTACGGTAGATTATTGCTTATGATATCTGACCAACAACGGATATTGAGTATCTCATATAGACAATTGTTTATAAATACTTATATCTTTTTGATGATGGTTGTTGCACTTCTGGAAGTTTCAGTTCCTTACAACATATCCAAATGTCTTGACATTCGTATTGAAGATTTTGACTTCCATATGCTCTTCAATTACATGTGGAACTCAAAACAAGTTTCAACCAATATCAAAGTTTCAATCTTCAATACGATCGTCAAGGCCGTCCTACAGTACTGAGCTGAAACTTGGAGAACTACAACAACCATCATCAAGAAAGTACAAGTATTTATAAATAGTTGTCTACGCAAGATACTCAACATCCATTGACCGGATACCATCAGCAACAGTCTTTTGAGGGAAAGGACAAAGCAGTTTCCAGATGAAAAGGAAATTAGGAAAAGACGATCGAAATGGATAGGACATACATTGAGGAAATCATAACACTGCATCACGAGGCAAGCCCTAACTTAGAATCTTGAAGGGAAGCGGAAAAGAGGAAGGCCAAAGAACACATTACGTCGGGAAATAGAAGCGGATATGAAAAAGGATAAATAACAAATGGAAAGAATTGCCTAGGACAGGGTTGGATAGAGAATGCTAGTGAGTGGCCTATACTCCTTCATTAGGAGTAACAAGCGTAAGTAAATAATTCATTAATGTTCTTCAATTGTAGGAATGCAGTCCTTATTTTGCCAGTCCTCACATTTACGTCCGTATCAGATCCTCTTTGTTCATCGATGAAGTTATGCAGATACGTGAAACATTCCACATCTTCCAGAGCTTCTCCATCAAGTTGGATTGGGTTGGTGTTCCCCGTGTTGTGCTTGAGGATCTTGCTCTTCTCCTTGCGTATGTTGAGGCCTGCTGGTGTAGGAGCTGCTACTACACTATTTGTCTTGACCTACGCTTGTTAATGCAAATTGGTTAGAAAAGCTAGGTTATGTACGAAACACAAATTTTTTAGCTGCATCTAAGCTGTTCACTGTATTCTGTGCTTCCCTTCCAATGTGGAGGTTATCGTAATCCAGTCGACTACCAAAAGAAGGAGGAAGGGGTGTGGTGTGTGCTGCTTATGTAGACATAAGTAGTATATGACGTGAGTACTGAACAGAATGTCCGGCAGCAGAGAGACGAGAAGATCGAACAATAAAGAATGAAATAAGAATTCAATTTGTATGAAAATGCAAGAACAAAGTAATTCTGAGTCATTTGAGACAAGTGATGAACATTTTGCAAATTGAGCATTTATGATATGGTTGTTAAATTTTACTAACTAGTTCTGTAAACTGTAGAATGCGTCCGAATGTCCCCACAGCTGTTCTGTTCACTACAGGGGGAGTGTGGTCCGTTGAAAACCATGTAGCTTTGAGTTTGTGTAGAGATACTGTTTTGTCAAAAGCACACACATTTTCAAACCTCTCACATTTTCGTTCCTTTCTCCTAGTCAGTCTGTCGTCCCTTGATATCTTCATACCCAATGTTGTTTATTCTGACTATGGCGTTTAGATCTCTAATCAGCATTGTCAGATCCTTCCTTGAGCATTACGCTATAATCGATTGCAGCCTTTCATAAACTTGATCTTTATCGTCGTCTTTGCTATCATTGGTAAGTGCACAAGATTGGATAACATTCATCGTTATTCCTTCCTTTGTTTTGAATGATGCTTTGATGATCTTGTGTTCTTGATATTCCCATCCTATAAGTGCATTTCGTGCTTCTTTGGATAGCATCAAAGCAACTTCCTGGGTGTATGGAGCATTTACCTCTTCGTAAAAGGAGTATAGCAGCATCTCTCCAGTATCTAACATTTTCTGTCCAACTGGGGTCCAATATATTTCTCTGACTCCGAGCATTGTCAAGTTGTATCTCCTCATTTCCATTGATCTTCACGGTTTCCCAGATTGTACGTGTGTACATCAGTTCGAGTTGCTATACCACATTAACACAAAGATTCAGTTGTTGATTCAAATCCCGTTGTGGTAGAGGTAGTAGGACTATAAGTAGTAATCGGAAAGATTAGGGTTTAAAGATGTTATTCAAGGAGTATAATCCAGTGAAATAAATTTGGAAAGATAAATAAAGGGATATGACGAATTCATAAGATAAGGATTTGGGAGAACACAAAAAGTGAATGCCCCTGTGCCATTACAAACGATTTTGAGTTAATTGAAGCTAGACCATCATGGAAAACCTGGAAGTACTAGATGGCCGTTTCGTCCTATTATGGGACTCCTCAGAAGTGTAAATCCGTCCAGTTCTTCCATATTCTTCATGGTGGTCTAACATCAATTGAATCATGAATTCAACTATAAAAAGTGTTTATCAATTAATTTTATTTATGTTTAACAAATTTACTGAATTAACTCTTCCTTTTATAAAACAATCAAATTCAAGCAATAACAATAGAAGATAAGATCTAAAATTACAGGACAATTATTAATGTTTACAAGACAAATAATGTGTAAGTGTTTTTGTTGTTGTTGTTGTGGTTGTTGTTGTGAGATAGTAACTCACTGAAGACGATAGTGGACTGTGGCTAAATTTAGTGGATTGGTTGAAGTTAAGCATTAACACCATTGGATTCCGGCCGACTGAGTAGTTTAAAGGCTAAGGATTCGTGTGTGAGACCGGTAGGGACTAGGTTTGAATCTCGCGACATAGGATTGTGGATGCGTACTGCTGAGGAGTTTTACAACAGAACGAAACGACAATCCAGTGCTTTCAGGATTTTCATGATGGTTCCACTTCAATTGACTCATGAATTCAACTATTAAATTGTTATAATCTCTATAAAACCCCTTTGTGATAATAATGATTCACTTTATTGATTAATTCAAACTAAACAATTTTTATATTTTATATAAGAAATCGATTAGAGCTTAATCGATTAAAATATGAATTTTTTTAGGAATAAATTGAGATGAACATTGAAAAAAGAAAAAGATCAGATGTAAAAAAAATATCTGATTTATTTATTGTGGTTAGCGTTTTTTTTTTCTGTAGCAAAGTTGTTTTCAACGGGATTGGGTTGCTAACCACATATCCAACCCTCCTCTTTTACCAAGGCTTTGAATTGGTAATAGCCTTAGAAGAGGTATAGGAGAAGTTTATATTTGATTTACTTCATTAAAACAAATAAAACTGTAAGCAAATATGGATAGTGGCTAGCAATAGAATCTAGGACGCGCGTTTCTTCCTAACTAATTCCCGGAGTGAACATTAACTCTAGGATGCAGGTACATCCAGCTTACACGTCTAAAAATAGGACGAAACACACGTCAAACTGGATTCCACTACTAGCCACTATCCAGCTTTACTTATAAAAGCTTGTGACTTAAAGTAATATAGAGGCAATCCAAACAGGATGCACATATGCCTACAAGAGACTGATCAATTGCAGTCCTAATTAACAATGAGTAGATTCAAATAAACAATACCAAGTGAATTTAATCTTTGCTCCATTGCACAAACAAGTGGCTATCAGGATTCAGTAACCAAGTCGATAACATGTTGGTATTTGAGGCGAACGATTCTGAGTTCGAGTCCCAGAGTAAACAATAACTCTGAGATGTAGGTACATCCAACTAACGAGTCCCAAAATAAGATGAAAAGCGTGTCCTGGATTCCACTGCCACTGTGCCACTATTCATCTTTTCTTAAATAGCTTGTGACTAAAGTGATCCACACATGATGCACGTATACCAACAAGAGACTGATCAATTTCAGTCCTAAACAACAATGAGAAGATACAACTAAAACAATATCCAATGAATTTAATTAAAATGATATATATATATATATATATATATATATATATATATATATATATATATATATATATATTGGTAGTTGAAACAATCGTAACTAGTCCTCAGTTTCTTCTGGTTGATATAATGTTGTACCAGACTATATAATGTGACAAAATATACCTATATGTAGATGATTATAAATTAAGAAGACAATAATGAGAAACTATATTTGAAGCATTTAGTACCCTTTTGAGAAACCATTCGAATATCTAGTTGCCATGGCTTTGTTTAGTTGTTTCTTAAATATTTGAAATTTACTATATTGTATAAATATGTTTAAAATTAGGTAACTAGCGACTGGTTTCAAGAGACACTTTTTGGAGTTCTAGTGAGAAGCCGTGACCAGTTGAGTTCAATCAGGTCTATTGTGAAATATTAGCTCACTGAACATAATGGTGTACGGTGGCAGACGTAAAGCAAGGATTGGTAAAACAATGTCTGCATTCTTACAGTTGAAGTACATTTGGAACTCAAAACAACTGTCAGCCAATATCAAAGTCATAGTCTTCAATATGAGTGTCAAGGCAGTTATATTGTAAGGAAATGAAGCCTCGAGAACTACAACAACCATCATCAAAAAGATACAAGTATTTATAAACAATTGTATATAAGAGATACTCAATATCCGTTGTTGGTCGGATATCATCAGCATCAACCTACTGTAAGAGAGAACAAACCAACTTCCAACTGAGGAGGGAATTAGAAAAAGATGCTTAAGGTGGGTAACATACACATTGAGGAAATCACCAAACTGTATCACGAGACTAGCGATAACTTGAAATCCTGAAGAGAAACGGAGGAGATGAAGGTCAAAGGACACACTGTTTCAGGAATTGGAATCAGACATGAGAAGAATAAATAGCAACTGAAAACACCTGGGAAGGATTGTCCATGAGAAGTTTGGATGAAAAATGTTGGTGGGTGACTTAAGCTTCTCCATGAAGGGTAACAGGGGTAAGTGAGTAAGTAATAATCACACTTATATAATGTTATGTCTTTAAGTCCGGCTAGTTATCTCGTAATTTATTCACCAATCAAAATACATATTCGCCCGTGTACTGACTAAACTAATGAAGTTCATCTGGTCTGACCAGCCTAGCGTCCTATTGGTTCGTTGGTCGCCTAACCCGTCCAGCTGAGTCCAGAATTCCAATAACAGCTTCCACTATACGAATTATTTATTTCAGACATTCTTGGTTTATTTACCAGCCAAACAGACCGCATTGCACCATAAAATACTAAATCACATCCATACACAATGCAAAAGATGGCTGTGAACGTGGGAGACTATAGTCAATAAACTGAACATAAAAACAATAAATCATAATACAATAATGATCTATAGGTAAAAATGTAGCTTAAAATAAGGGGAATACAGATATATATATAATCTAATTACAGAATAGTTATACGATAAGAATATACAAATAATATCACTCCATTAATAGGTCTAAGACGTTATTCGTAATTTAATCTTCACTAAGATATAACATATAATATACCTTTGTGGATCAGTTTAATTTTACATTGGTTTTCAGTAGAACCAAACACCATCCTTACTTTCATATGACAACTCAAACAATACAACTCAATATCGTTTCCTGGAGAACCAGACACCGCTCAGATTTGAACTTTATAACCTGAATAATACGGTTCAATCCCACTTCACAGGAGTACTAGACATCGTGAAGGTTTTAACGTTACAAACTGAATAGTACAGCTCAATCACATTTCACAGGAGTACCAGACATCGTGTAGGTTTTAACGCTACAATTTGAATAATACAACTCAATATTGTGTCACAACCACTCAGTTACCAATCACTCTAGTGAACTAGAATAACAAATATTATATTACATAGATTACAACAGAATATTAAATGCTATTCATAATTGATTTTCTTAGATCTAATTTCAATCCTATCATAAATATATTTATCATATTATATACTTTCATTTGATTGGTTCATTATAATCAACCAATCAAATCTTTTCACAATTTTTAATTTAATAATCAATTCATTTGATCATCATCACAATCATCACAATCATCATCATCATCATCATCATCACTATTATTAACATGATTTGTTTAAATTACTGATTATACATAAATTCATTTTTAAATTTACTAATTCATCAATTAAATGTTGAGTAGATTTTATAATAATCACTATCTATTTGATTGATTGATTTATTGATTTATTGATCGATTAATTAATTAAAATGAACTATGAGTAATTATCAGTACATGATTTCATTTATTAAAACACACATATATATATATATATATATAAAACAATGAATAAATGCAGTTTGAATCTGTTCAATCTATTCAATTATCAATATATACATATTGAATATATAATTTGTAATAAATAGATGTATGTTATTAATTGATATGTCTCACTCTCGCTCACTCTCACTCTCACTGTCACTCTCACACACACACGCACTCTCTTTCTCTCGCCATAGATACAATTTTTATAAAACAATATATAAACTTATATAAGAAAAAAGAAAAAAAAATATTATTCAATGAAATAAATAGAAATAAATTGTTGTTGTTGTTTTTTTGTTTGTTTTATTTAAATACATCAATCATTGAATAATAAAAAAAAAGAAAAATAAAGAAAATAAATAAAAAAAAATAATTATTTTATAAATTCAAACAAAATTATAATATAAAGAAAAAGGATTTCTATTATTGATTTCAATAATTGGATATTATTAAAATAATAAAAGAAAAAAAAAGATATTTAGGTAAGAAATATATTTTTTTTGTTTTGTTTATTTACATTTGTTAGTCCTTATGAAAGAGAATAGGCTATTGATTCATATGCTTCATTTAATCTTATCTAATTGTTTCTAGTTGTTATTTATCATTTTGATATTTACTTCTATTTCTAGATGTAATGTATTGTTTAGCCTTTTTTTTCTTGTGTCTTCTTTCAAGAGTCTAAATTAGGAGTTGTTTCATGATGTAGTTTGATGATTTCTGTAATGTATATCCTATCCACTTTCAACATGTTTTCCTAATCACCTCTTTATATGTAACGTGATTTTTTTCACTCATACAGTAGGTTATTATTGATAATATCAAATCAACAACTAATATTGAGTATTTCATATAGACAATTGTTTATAAGTACTTGTACATTCTTAATAATGATTGTTATAGTTCTCAAAGTTTCAGCTGCCCTCTTTCAGGATTTCGAATAAGGACTTGTTTCGTGATACAATTTGATGATTTCCTTAGTGTGTGTTCAATTCACTTCTAATGTCTTTTCGTAATTACCTCTTAATATGTAACCTGATTTTTTCTCTCACACAATAGATTGTTATCGATGATATCTGCCAACAACCGGCATTCAGTATCTCACATAGACAATTGTTTATAAATAGTTGTATCTTTTTAATGATGGTTGTTGTAGTTCTTGAAGTTTCAGTTCTCTATAAGATAGCTAATTGTCTTGACATTTATACGGAATATTTTGTCTATGATATTGGTTGACAGTTGTTTTATGTTTTATGTATTCTTCACTTGTAGGAATACTGTCCTTTGTTTTATCCCATCTTTGCCTATATGTATCTGCATCTAATCCTCCTTTTTCATTGATGATGCTTTAATTTGTTTAATTTGATTGGCATTTTTTTTGTCAAGTTTTTTTTCTCTACGTGATAGGGTTGCCGACTTCATGTTCAACCTACCTCTTTTACCCGAACTTGGGATCGGTAGTAACTGTAGATAAGCTACTAATGGAGTTGTTTTTTTTTAAAAAAAATCGTTAAATCTAATTTATTGATTATTATATAAAATCAATAGTACATAAGAATGATAATTTTGTTAATTATCGTTTATAAGTGCACTTCAGGATCAAGTAGTAGTTGCTGTTTTTTTTTTTCTATTGTATAAGTTTACATTCAATATGCTTTGAAGTTTAATGAATGTCAATTTTTTTTTGAATGAATTAAACAGTAATGTTAGATTTTACATTGACATATTATTGTTAGTATAAATGAGGAGATAGATGGATCTGATATACATGATATTGTTCATTAACTAGTGATCAATGAATTGTAAATACATCTCAATTATTCTAAAGGTGGTCAATTATGGCACATATAGCTCAGTGGTGAACTGAAGCTGGGTAATACGGAATGGAATCTGTCAGGGGATATCAATTCTTTCAAGAATAATACAGATACATTTTGCTGACAAATACCAAATAGCATGAAATCTAGGTTCAGGATTTTCTGTTCACTACCTCCAACCAATGGTTAGAGACTCAGAGTAACATGGTTCGGAATCGATTACAATGGTGTAGGTGTATATACTCACTGTCTTCCTTTAAACTATGAGATTAAAATCACTTCATATCTTTCTTTCTACCAACTAATTATTTCTTCCTGTTCTATATCCTCACATGCAAACTTTCTTTCACATATCACTACCATGGAATGAACTACTTGCATGAATCCGATGTTCATCTTGCTTAGCTAATGAGGTATGGCAACTTGGACCGGTGCATATGTGTGCCTAGTATTACGTTGTAGCTGACTGACTGACTGACCTCCAACCACCATCTTATCTCAACATAGTGCACGCAATGTCTAGTTACATAGACTAGTGATCACATTACAACTTGGTCGATAGGATTCAATCTGTACTTAAAAGGACCTAACATACATGACATTTGATCACCACCCAGTGATCAATCAATTGTAAATGTGTGATTATTTGTATATTCTTTATTGTTAAATAATGACTATTAGAGAATAGATCTTAATGAAAAACAATCTAAAAAATATTTTGTCTGATGGTATGAAATTACATCTGATCCTTTATTTATATATAACAAATAAATGATTAATAGTAATGAAGAAGATTGGAACCTTTATTCTTTAAATATAACTATGTGTTATTCAGGGTTAGTATTTCTTTGATTATGAATAAGTGAGAACTTGAAAATCTAAGTACTGAATAAGTACTTCGGTGAGACTATAATTTATGGACGACCTTTGAGTGACGCCACAAGGATCTTGAGAATGTCCAGCTGATAACTAGAACCAAATGAAGGTTATAAACCAATGTGAAGAATTCCAATTATGATTTACAATTGATGGTTAAGGTTAGAGATTAGATTTAGGGTTTTCATCACGAACTGAGATTAGGTAAAATGCCAAAACTCTATTTATCCAAATGGACGAATGAATTTCGCGCAAAAATCTGAGATCTGTTATTTTATAACTGATTGGTTTATCCATAAATTATAATCTCGCTAAATTATTTACATCCGGTTATTTGAAAATCCTTAGTACATTACATCTATTATTATCGTTTCATATCATTATTATTTCATGGATATCATTATCTCTTCTTAAATTGTTCTATAGTTTTGCAACACAAATGATGAATACACATTGTGTGATATAATGTAAGTATTGATTTCTTCATTCTTCAGATGATAAACTCAAATTTTACACTTATCTATTATTACTAATTTCAATAGTTGAGATTATGAGTCAATTGAAGCTAGACCACCATGGGAAACCTGGAAGTACTGGACGGCTGTTTCGTCCTAGTATAGGACTCCTCAGTAGTGTGTATCCACGACCCCGCCCTCCGTGAGATTCGAATCCAGGATCTATCAGTTTTGCGAGCGAGCGCTTAACTAATAGACTATTGACACATTCACCATTGTCATCAGTGAGTTACTATCTCAAAACAGACTCGGTTGAACTCCACTGGTTACTGCTTCTCACTAGAACTCCAGGATATACATCTAGAAGCCAGTCACTAGTAAGCATATGTTGATTATTATCACAAGGGGTTTTGTGAAGATTGTAGTAATTTCAATAGTTGAGATCATGAGTCAACTACTGAAATTACTACAATCATCTCAAAACCCCGTCTGATATTATTACTAACTTTGAAAATAACTTCCCTGCAAATAAACTAAGTAACATTATTGTAGTGGATTATGTACATGGTTATATGGTTAGGCCATCACGAATTCTAATGAAACCTCCTGGATTTTTTCATACCTGGGTTACATAATATTTACTTAAGGTTAGTTGTTCATGTCACTAGTTATGAATCCATCAAAATGTACGAATACATGTTCATTATCTGCCCTGACATAGATGTTTAATAAATGACTGTATATAAATCATGTATTGCATAGTAAATATATTAGAATGTCATTTGAATCATACTTCAACATTCCATATGGCTAGTACTTTACTCCTTCATTGTTTAGCTTATCAATGTATCACTTGTACTGATTCAGCTTGTAAAGTTTAGTTTTGTTTAATCAACTATGTTTATCAACGAATCTGGGACGCATGTTTTGTTCTATTTGGAACTAGGTGAGATGCATTTATCTGCATCTTGAACCTAGCAACTTTCGCTTCAAAACGCCTAAAATGTTATTCACTAAACTACTGAATTGAGATAGTCATTATGAATCAATATGACTTTTTACATTATCATATGTACAGCTTATACTTTCCTGTTATCGATAGTGAAGAATGAACTTTGATCAGTTTTAGTTTTGCAAAACTTGAAACATATTGACTATATTGAGATCATTGTCATAAAATGTATGTACGCCAAAAAAACTTACTTATTTACTTAAACCTGTTACTCTCAATGGAGGATAGGCCGCTGGCCAGCATTCTCCAACTCACTCTGTCATCGGCCTTCCTTTCTAGTTTTATCCAATTGTTATTCATTCTTCTCATTTATATCTCCATTTTTCGGCGTAATATGTTCTTTGGTCTTTCCCTTCTCAGTGGGTCTTGAGGATTACAAGTGAGTGCATGACTTGTCAAGCGATTTTGTGCTTTCCTCAATGTGTATCCTATCCACTTCCAGCTCTTCTTCCTGACTGAAATTCAATTCTTAGTATAATTAAAGGGGTAATTCATAACTTAATAATAACGATATAAGAACATAAGTGGTTGAAAAGAATAATGTTTCTTGTAAATTTGTTCATTTTTTCAGGTAGTTGATCATGAAAAACTTATAGATTTTTTGAAATTCGTTACATTTTTGTTTTATTCAACAGGAAGTAGTTATTAGTAATATAATGGAACCATGTAAATCCCTTTGTCCTTAGGACTGTTTAGACGCAATTAGGCAATGTCATGCATTGATATTCAAATGTGAACCATAATAACCAGTTTTTACACTAAATGTGAGATAGATTTAGCCATATAACAGGACTCAGTAACTAAGTGGTTAACGCGATGACGTTTGAACCGAGCGGTACTGGGTTCGAGTTCCAGAGCGAACGTAAACTCTAAGACGCAGGTAGATCTAGCTGACGAGTCCCAAAAAGGACGAAACGCGCGTCCTCGATTCCACTGTCAATATGCTTCTATCCTTCTTTGCTTATAAAGCTTGTGACTTAAAGCAATATCGAGGCATTCCGCACAAGATGTACATTTGCCAACAAGAGACTGATAAATTACAGTACAAAATAACAATGGAAAAATACAAGTAAACAACATCGAATGACCTATATGTTTCTGAAAAAAATATATAGACTTATTGATTGAGATCATGAACCGATTGATGTTAAACCGCCGTTGGAAACCTGGAAGCACTGAACAGCCGTTCCGTAGAACATATCAGCAGTGTGCATCCACAATCCTGCTCGTGGGATTCTAACTCAGAGCCCTGAATCTCGAGCACGAACGCTTAGCTAACTAGTTCATGATCTCAATGAAAAAATTTACAATCTCCACAATCCCGA